TGGGGCGGCGTTCCGCGGGGGGGGGGGGGGGGGGGGGGGGCGGCGAGCCGGTGCCGTGCAAGTTAGCGCTTGTGGTTGCGATCGCCGTGTGTGTGAGCTCTTCTTGGTGTGAGCCTCGGCCGAAGCTGTGGCTTCTGCCTCCGATCGTCTGGGCAGCGTCTGGTACAGAAAATCCTAAAATAGTTTAATCTGTAGGAGCACACCACCACAAGTGGAAATTGTATCTCCAGTGCAGTTTCTGGCATGACTATCTCTTGTTTGTCAGGCGGTGTCAGAAAGCGTGGCTTAACTGAGAGGCTACGGCTGCTTCTAAAGCACTTGGGGCGCGGACATCTGAATTTAGCATCGTCTGCCTTATGGAAAAGTACACAGGGAATGCAGTACAACTGCCTGTGTACCTAATCTATAGGTGTGAAGTGTGAGGCTAAAAAAAAATGAATTTTCTCTTGGCTGTCTGCTACAGTGGAGAAATGCGTGTGTGACTCCTTGTCACCCTCTGATGTGAAGAAACTTAAGTTGGAGCTGTGTGAAGAAACTGCTTCTGGAGTCAGTTACAGTATTGCGCATGGGATGACTGGAGGATGCAATGCTAACTGATAAAGTACTTGTGATGGGTTTCAGCAAAGTAAGAAAATGGAACTGGGCTGCAATTGAGGGAACTTGTGCAGAGGAACTTCACAAGGGCATAGGAAAGCACATATTGCCACCTGAGACTCACCAGGAGGGTGAGGAGGGGGGTCATATTCGGAGGATTATAGCTGGTAGGAAGAAAAAGCCTAAAAACGCACTAGCTGAAACCTCTGGGTCAGTGAGGTGCTAAACCTCTTGTTGAAACAGGAGGAAATATTCATGGTTTGCTTTCTGATTTTTTTTTTTAAAGCTACAGACTTTCCACGAACTATTTTATAGTGCAAGAATGCTTGTTGTGGCAAAGGCATTGCCTCAAAGATGCTCTTAACATAAGTGTTGCCATTTTGCTGTCTAGGGTCCAGGGCTGAGAATAGGGAGTGTCTTTTCATTTAGCTCAGGAGGCATCTGTTGCTTGGGAGTTTCATGGTAATAAAGCTCAGAAGCTTTACTTGCACCTTTGGGTGCCCAGTAAGCATGGATGCAGGCTTGACCTGTTAACAGGGTGGAGGGGAGGAGGAGTGGTGGTGGGGAAGGGGGCTGTACCACACATAGGCTTGTGCTGCTGCCTCAAGTAGGGCTGCTGCCCAGAGGAGCCATGAGGATGCAGCTCTTCAAGTAGCCTTCTCAGGGGATGGCTGTGCTCACTTAAACCCAGCTAGGATGTGGGGAAAAGAAGAGAAAGAAGAGTTAAAGGGAGATGAATGCTTCTTCCTCTTGGGGTGTCCTGATGGGTGGCTGGAAGCACCAAGAGGCAGCAAATGCAAGCAGCTGGGGTTAGCCAGGGATAAGTGTTTGTAGACCAGCTGGAGTAGTCCTTGACTCTCAGGGTACACTACATGTATCTGGGCCCTACCAAAACTGTCAAAGGGGAATTTCAAGTATAGTGTTAGTGAACATCATGTCCTCTATGGAGGAATAAAGTAGCAATCTCTTGGGTTATTTTAGGCTGTTGGGCCTCAATGAACAGTGTAAAGAGAAGGTGTCTTGGGGCGGGCAGCACTAGAGGACAGGAACAACCCTAATAAGAAAGAAGGCTTTAATGTTTCTTATGGCATCAGAGATGTGAGAAGTCCATTAAGTAATGGAAGTAAATTGAGCAAAAATGTGCCTGAGTGCAATTCTGTTCCTAAACTTGAAGGTACAATCAGACAACCTTGGCCTTGGAAACACCACCACCACCACCCCAAGAGGAGGAACAAGACTTTCTTGCTTCTGAGTAGTCCATGGGTATGGGTTCCTGTTGCCCAAGTGCTACTTTGGAATGGTGACAATGATGTAGTTAGATTTAGTGTACCTCCTGGAGCAAGAGAAGATAAAAGGTCCCATGAAGCTGTGATCACGTTTACACAGTACCCCCCTTTTTAAAATAAGTTGCCTCAGAAGGGCAGCTGAGGAATTTAAATGGCCTGCAGCAAACCTGCAGGTATTTGTAGGTTGCATGTTAGGTGGCATGTATTTGCCTCCATCAGAGACTTGAGTGAGGGCAAGAGGAAGCAGAAAGCGCAACAGCTGAGTATAGGAGGCTATTAAAAATTGGGAAACTCCCAAAAAGTTGAAGCTGTGTCCAAAGGAAGGAGATGAAGGTTCATAAATGCTGGTGGGTCAAATACAAAAATATAATAAGGCTAGCCAAAAGAAAGCTTTAGGTAGAACTTGCAAAAGCAAACCCCCCTAACATGTCCCTCTTCAGACACGTTAGGAACCAGGGAGCTTCCCAGGGAGGCCTTACAGACAGTAATCCATCCAGGTGTAAAAGTGTGTTACGAGTGATCTTCTGTGGGTCTTTCTCTTACTGCGTGTGCTTGGGGAAGTTCTCAGCAGTAACCTGTCTTTGACTCTGAATCTCTCACAGGCTTTAACTGACCTCTCAATGAAAAGGTGGTGAAACAACAGCAAATGCTGATTAGCAGCTTGCTAGGGTCACATAATAGTTACTTCAGAATTACAAATGCATTGTGATTAGGTAAAACCTCCTGCTCACCACCTACCTTGGTGCCAGAGGGCTGGAATGCAGTGAATTTGAGGCTGGATTTTTTGTTTTATGTTATTCTAGGTTATGTAGTGAGTGGCACATGTGGTGCCTCTGGAACAGACAGAAGAGAAGATACTTGAAAAATAGTAAGTTGGTGTACACCTGGAGATGTGACACTGTGGGAGAGAGAATGGCTACTGTAAGGGGAAGTTTGACTTCATGAAGCTGTTAACTTTGAAGCCTGAATCTTGGAGAGAGAGTGCTGGTTAGTGTTAGTTCACTTATTCAATGTCTCCTGGAAATCTCAAGGCTCTTAGGGAAACTAAGCAGTCCTGGAGTAAGATCCTGGCAGGGTTGAAATTGCTGA